TAAAAAGTAAAATTTGTCAATTTTATTATTTTATAAAATAATTCGTGCTTTACTAAATAAAACTAAAAGATGAAACAATTGAAACTGGCTAATAAAATGACAACAACGTACAACAATGGTCAAACATGAAAATTGTTGAAATCTCATAATTCACTGTTCTTTAAAATTCTCGTAAAAACAACTTCACGGTTCTTTAAAAAGGCAACCTCTAATTGTGCTCTGACCTATTTCGTGTTTTTACGTTTAATATCTGCAATAGTATCATCGACGCAATGTCTAGGCTGTGAACTTGTCGAAGGACCACTCTACTTTGGATTTTTGTGGGACCTTTTTTAATCGTACAAACAGTGAAAAAATAATAAAATAGCCGAACCGCAATGTCCTTGAAAGAAATAAAATAGAGTGTCATTTATCAACAAGCTACTTCTTTTTCTAAGTTACATTCAGATTTATTCTCATCATTTTATTGTAATATACAAAACAAAGAAAGTAACTATAAACTATAAATAAGAGATAAAAATTAGATTTGGATTGAATTTTATGCGATGATCACAAAAACGGCCGGCAGCCAATGCTTCGATACATTACCCGAAATCACATATCAGAGTATTTTGGATTGAAAATAAAGATTATATTTTTAAAAACATATAATGAACAATTTTTGACATATTCGCAAAAAATTGTAAATACCATTACACTCACAGTGAATTCTGCTTATACATGTACATATGCTTATAATTGTGCATCTATGCAACGTATATGTCAGCAGCCATTTCACGATGCGGCAACCGAATAAGAAAGGATATAATATGAAAGAAAGCAATTATAAACAATTAACAGAAGATAAAAATTAGGTTTAGATTAATACCATTTTCTATGTTATAATGAAGTAGTTAGAAAAAATTTTAATGTAATCTATTAAAAGAAGTAGTTTATCGATTGTATCATATGTTATTTTTTTCAAAGTCATTGTCGTTTGACCGACCACATTTTTTTTATTTTTTTTCACTATTGTATATTATACATACATAAATAAATAAACTTAAATAACAAATTTGAAGAAAATGTATAACATAAATTTAAAAAAAAATGTATAACAATATGAATTAAAAAAAAATTATTTAAAGTCCAGAGGTGGAATGGTTTTTCGACAAATTCACTGCTTAGGCTACCAAAATAATCCTTTCTTCACATTTAAAACGATCGATAGAACACGGCAAAAAATATTTTTACCGTATAAACGCGAATCTACAAACTGTGAAGTGTTTTATCGACCGGCTATGAAATGATTTCATTAGTCGTGAGTAAAAAAAAAAAAGAATCCTTCGATCGAGAATGGCCGCTTTCCGCTGTTGGTTCTCTTTCTTTTTCACTCCCATGCGATGTGTGTATTTTTCTTGCCGATTTTTCAAGAGCGGTAGAAAATAGAAAATGAATGAATCGGTATGAAGCAAACTGGAAAAAAAGAAATACCGAACGGCTTGAAAATGGTCTCAGTTTATCGTGCATAAATTCATGATTCGTCGTATATTTATATAAAGTGAGTACAGCGATAGTTTACTTTGATCCCATTAATCATAACGTACACAACTTTTGTGTACATCACGTACGTAAAACGATCTAAACGTCATAGTTAATCTTTTAGCATGAAGAAACAACGATCGATGGTTTGAATTTACTCGGTTCTCAGATATATAATCATAACAACTGGGATTATTTTCGACCAAATAAGACTATTCAATGATACTCTTTTTGAGAAAATTAGCATTCAGTAAATGCATTTTATTAAATAAAGTACATTATGATTAAAATGTATCTTTACGTTTCTCAGTTGTTCTTGAAAATTCAAAAGAAAAAAAAGAACTAGCACTCTTAATACATTCTTGATTGGAAGCTTTTTAACATCTGTGTGTGAAAACATGAGTAACTGGTAACCAGCCAATAATGTGTTAAAAAATTACAAGAGGAACAGTCAAGATAAATTAGAAACTTTTGTTAGTCCAGCACTAAATGATACTAGCATGCGTTTATAGTTTACGCAAAATAATTTGTAAACATTATAAAAAAAAACAGAAAACTTTAAAAATGAGTAATGTTTGTCCAGATTTTTTGAATGTCTTAAAAATAAAAAATATTAACATTATATTAAAATTATCACGGTAGAACTACATTTATGTACTTCAACAAAAGTAAAACACAGATTTGAATAATAAGAGAAAAGATGTACTTATAATAAAATATAATATAATAACTTGCAACATGGATCATTAAAGATTAAACATGTCAAGAAAGTAAGACTCTAAAAAATTATTTCGATTAAGACTGTAAAATATGCAGAGATGATTTAATAAATGAGCGTGCGATCAAACGAGCAAATGGACAAAGAAACGTGTGTACATAGTGCTTGCAATCTCTGCACCCCTAAATTTCTAGCAAAAACACAAACATTAATCAGAGCGGAAAGGAATCCTCCACTGGAATTTAATACTCCCTCCAGCTACTTTTTATTTTCGAAGGATTTCAAAGGATTTCAATGGTAAGAACGATTACGTCAACGGGGCAAGAATTTTTTATCGATTGGAACACACGTATCACGTTAACGTTTCCTCCATTTCGTGTAACTGTCACAAGCACAGACCATTTACAATTCAATGAAAATATTTGATCCAAGTTCCATTGACTTTCATTCTACGGAACTTCCACATAAAGTACAATCGAATCTCTTCGCAGGCAGTTTCCAATCGAAATCGTTGTAAACTCGTGTCTACTTGTAAAGCTGAGATTACAATTTAATTTCACATGTCAGAATTTATTGACAAAAATAGACACACACATAATGCTACTACACGGGATTAAGAATGTTTCCTGATTCCGATACAACGGTTATCAGTCAAAAAAAATATAAATATTATAAATGCTATCTACTTGATTAGACTGATTGAGATCAATACGTACGAGCTTGTTGATGACGCCTGAGTTACATCTTTTTAATTACTTTCCTTTAATAACAGGCTGCGCTGCCGTTATAATAATGAATCCTTTGACAGAATAAATAATTCACTAGAAGTTCAACAAACTTGATATCGGAAAAATTTCAGTCCTAACATCAACTAGTGTTGGTGCACCTACGCGCGCTCGTTAAAACGACGTACATACCTCAGTTTCGCAGAGTCCGTCGTCGCGTTCACATCCCCTTCCTGAAGTGTGTCCCTTCGTAGCTAGTCACCGTGACATACACCACGCAACGTTTTCGATAAACCCTGTGATACATTTTTTTTTTTTTTTTATGAAAGTGACTTTA